TTGGGAGACCCTGAGGCCCTCTTCTGCAGGCTTTAGAGTTTTGATACCGCCATTGCCGCCGGTTCCATCAACTGGAGACGTCGGTACAACTTTATGCTTCGTTAGTAAGGTTATCCACCATCAAAAGGAGTTAACGACTTCACAAAAATATTAAAATTTTAGTGAGAAAAAACAAATTCAAATTTAAAAACCAATCGTCATTATTCTGCATAATTGAATCATTACCTAACTCTCTCAAACACCATGTCAACAAATAATTTTTACTCCGCGCTCAAACGATGCAGATATTGTCATAAACAATAAACATAAAACAAGAAATGATATAAGGATCAGAATCTTCGCACAAAATAATTGCAAAACTGATCAATATCAAAACAACAAAATAAAAGGGAATTGATATCAATAGAAGAGGAGAAATACAAATGATAAAATAATTACGTCTTTGTCATGTCATGACTAACAAACACTCAAGTTAACGTGCAACACGCGACGACGAGAGAACTAATGGATTACTAACATTCTAAAAATATTAAAGAGATCAGAAATGTACCTTCTGTCCCAAAATTAATGTTCAGTTTGATATTTCACTTTTAGTATAATTTAACTAAAAATGAAAATTCGAACTGAACAATAATTATGGGACGGAGCGAGTACTTGGTAATTAATTAACGTCACACATTTAGATTCTTCTTCACTAAAAAGAGTTATGGAACTCGCTCGAATATTCTCCTTTTTATTGAAGATCACCTTCTGATTTTTATTTAATTATTAAAACTACTCCAGAAATAATGAACTTAATTTAAAATGAATTTGGGACGGAATCAGAAAACCGAAACGAAAACGTAGCAAATGTACATTCTAGTGTCGGGGATAAAATAAATGTAGGAAAGGGGGAGAAGGATACGATAGATTTTGCATATGCATTCATAAAGTTTTTCCTTTTTCCTTTTTTTTCCCTTGTTCAGCAATTTGAAGAAACTCCAAGAATGACTAGCAAATTAGGAAATTACTCCTTTTTTTGTATAGTAACCAATGAAATAAGCTCAAAAGCAGGCATTCCTCCAATCAAACTCTACCCCTTTATGATTAATACTTTCTGATGAAGCATTTTTTTGTCGTTTTTATTAGGTGGTGGTGATAATATATTCTCCCTCCTGTCTTTAATATAAGACATTTTGATTTTATTCTAAATTTCACCTAGTACGTATTTTTAATTGGCAAGAAAAATTTAAAAATATATTTTTACATTGGTTGTATTCCCTTAATTATTATGAAATATTTTTGAGGTTGTTTTATTTAAAAATATATATATGACAAATCAAAATGCCTTATATTAAGGATCGGAGGGAGTAGTTTCGTTCTGTTTCGAATGGGTAATCACATAAACGTAAACTGTCAAACATTTTTTCCAATTTAAAGCCACAGTCAGATTACTTAAAAAGCTGAAATTTTGAATCACTCGTACCAATGTCAACTCTTGCGTAATTCACATAAAATTTTAAATAAGCAAGAAGTGGGAATTATTTTTATTTCTCTGATTGACTTGCTATTGTTTTTCGGTAGTCTGAAAACACTACCATATTGATTAATAGTGTTGTCATTAACTAGCAAGGTTGAAACTCGTTCAACAGCAAGCTAAAACAAGTCAAACCATATGAAACTTTGATAAAGTGATCCAGCTCATAAGCTACCACATTATCTTAATTTTTTCAGGAAAAAAAATTTTGAGTAATTGAGTTGCTGTCTAGGCATATATTTGACAAACTTATGCCTGGTAATTTCAACTTGAGTATACTTAATCACTGAAAGTATATATCTTGGGTTGACCACGTAACAAGTTCCCGCGTTTATTATGTGAACCATGAAAGTTTCAACTTTCAAGCTTCTCCTAATCCTCCCTCCGATCTGTTTGTCGTGAGCAATGGATGAATCTTTTTTAATTAATTTATTTTTGGTTGTCGATCAGACCCTAAGATACTGTCTAAGTGTAATTATTTGAGATTTTCATTCTCATTATATCCATAATGCTTATACGGTTATACCAAATTATGAAGAACTCAGTAAGTTTAGGGCCTTTTTACATTTACGAGTCTTTATTCTGTACTACTGTATGGCTCTATGAGATATTTATAGTACCGGGTAGTTATACGTATTCCTTTCAGTTCCAAAAATTAAATCTTGTTTCTTATCTATTGACTTTTAATTTTCGTGCAACAAGTATACTCTCATTCAAAAGAAAGAAACCATATACAACACTCATAAATTATTACTAATTAACGACGTTTACTATGTAGTACAAGAGGAAGAGAGAATTAACACAATTTCACATTGCATGTTCCACAAATTCTTGTCATTGATTGGTAGAAAATCATGACTCATTTTAATGAAATTGCTGTTCTCTTCCCTTCTCCTTTTGGAAATAAGACAATGAAGTTATGTTTATCTCTCTGCAGTGATCATGTGTTAACTTGGCTATCGAATATTCATAATCATATTACTTACAGAAGTAGTGAAAGTCACAATCATATTACTTAGAGAAGTAGTGAAAGTTATGTGCCAAACATTAAAGAATGGTTGAGTAAATGTGTGACAAAAACTAAGTCAAAAAATGACCTTATTTTTTCTATTCGTTTTTGTTTTGCCGGTTGTATGCATTGAGAGCAATATTTCTACGTGTTCACGTCAAATTCTAAAAAGCCCTCTTAAATAAAGGATAAACCTTCGACCCTAATCAAATAGTGGAATTTGGAAATTGAAAAGTTATTTTCTTTCTTAATATATTAGCTAGTACAGCATTGATGAAGGTTACCTATGGTTTAGTTAGTCTACGTTAAAATATATAGTTTATGAAAGAATTCAGACATGAGAGTAATTGGCAGCGATAGCAAACAGAAGGGTCTTCTGCAATGTATTCCCCTTGGCCTCCCTAACAGAATGGTAAAAGTTTGTACTAGTTCTGGTTGTCGGAGAGAATATATACAAATTCTTGTGCAATTTCAATTGCATGGAAACTTCTCAGCAGGTTATGAACTAATACGCATTTACTCAGGGGGGGAGCTAAGCCCCTAACAGCAGGTGGGGCAAAAAAGTTTACACATAAAGATATTTAATTTGTTAAAAAATTATCAAAATGTAAATCCTAACAAAATATTACAAAATTTCTTTACGTATATTCATTTTCTGAGAACGTTGCAAAACAAGTTCATCGTCAATAGTATCAAAGAGATATTTTTCGATATATGTAACAAGACAATCATTCATTTATCAATTTGCCATCGATTTTGAAGTAGGTTTATCACAATCTTCATAGTATAAAATTATCTTTCAACAGTTGTAGTGACCACGGACAAAACAAGTGCTCTCAAATACAAAGAAATAAAATGGCGGTGTGAAAAAAAAAATTTACCAAACAACTGATATAGGCAGTAGGCACTCAAGTACTTGATCTAGCACATTAATTCAATTCTAATCTCAAAACGAATAACTACTAGGGTCAATAACCAATAGACAAATGAAATATAAATTGGACATATATAAAAAGAACCGAAAATTAATGAAAAATATGAACATTTTTTCACTTGACTATGACAGATCAGTATTCAATACATACGTAAACCCTACAATCTACATGAATCTAACTCACAAAAAAAATTATTCTTTAAAGGAAGACAAAACTAATAGAGTTTCTAATTAATTACAAAAACTACATAATCCACGAACAAATGAATAAAAGAGAACTTAAAAAAAATTTACATACACAATAAAGTTTACTGAACGTCCGCGCTCTCCGATCTTTAATTATTTACTTCAACATTCCAATCACTAAAAAAGATTGAGTTCTAAACCCTAGGACAAAAGGCAGAGTCGATGAAGAACAGGGCAAATTTTGAGTTTGGGATGGAAAAAGAGACGTGAGATTCTTTATTTTTCTAATTGATATAAAACATTATTAATTTAACTAAGCTAAAGTAAACAATCACTACCTTTTTGTTTCTCTTTCTTAATAAAATATTTGAAGTAGTTATCAACTTTCTTCTTTGCCCCCAACTTACAAATTATTACTGGGGCAAAGTTTTAACGTTTTTGTAATTTAGGGTACTTAGGGAATTTGAGCTGGGGCAATTGCCCCAGCTTACATGTATGTAAATCCACCCCTGCATTTACTCCGTCAAGCTAGAAATAATATGTAAACATTTAATCATCGGATATGCTGTCAAGTACTCCGTCTGTTCAAAAATTATAGTACATTTTGGATTTTTATTTTTAGTTCGATTTGTACTAAAAATGAAATTCTAAAGTAGACAATAATTTCGGAACGGAAGTAGTAGTATGGTACCATGGAAAATAAACCAAAGAAAAAAAAAAGAAAATAGAGGAGAATCATTCAAAGTTGATTTCGTAGAATAATTTTTTTTCATTTACATTAAAAAAAAATAATCAAAGTTAGGGTAAAATTAATATAGGCAACAAATAAGAATATGTGGCCCTCAAACTAGCTAGTTGTTAACATTGAACTCTCCTCGATCCACAATTAAAAAATTCATAATCGAACTCAACGGGTTTGTAGTTGAGAGTAGTAAGAATAAATCCATTTTTATTAGAGATTGATAGTTCGAAACTCGCCATATAAATTTAAATGATTTAAGTATTAGAAGGAAACCGAAAAATACTCGTATATACTGTCATATTTATAAAACTACAAAATGCTCCAATTTGCATGAATGCATGCATGATTACTATTTCTTAACACGTACTTGGGGAAGATAAGCATTAATTTGCCTGGAACCCATCATCAAATAAGCACTTATCTGAGACAGATCCAACTAGCTACGTACGTAAGACAAGCGGTAAACTCATTCATGGATCATAAGTTTGATGATTTGGTCATATCACATAATTGAACCCATTGACTTGGTCGGACTTGTATAGCTTGGCCCCATTACATCACTGGTAACCACTATATATATGCATAAAAAAAAAAAAAAAAGGCAGTTGGTAACTTTGTATATCCCACACCGAAAACAATCATCAGCTACGGTGGTATATATCTAGAAAAATGCAGAGCCCTCTTGATAAATTTGTGTTTCTCTTTGCCATGATGTTTCTGTTAACCCTAATAACCTCCAGTATTACTACTGCTGCTTTTTCGGACGACCCAGGAGCAGGAATCGGTGGACGGATTGGTGGCAGTCCACTAGAAGGACGTACTAAAACCGGTCCACCAGGAGGCCGTAAAGGTGGTACGCCTAAATCTGATGATGGAGGACCGGGAGATGACGGCTCGTCGTCAGGAAATGTGCCGCCTGACGTTGGGGGAGGGACTGGCGACGCCGGAGGAGGCGACGACAGTGGTGGTAGTGATCCTGATGCCGTCCCTCCGGGTAGTGCGCCGCCTCCGCCCAATGAAGTGCCAATTGGCGACAACAGTGGTAGCATTGTGCTGCCGCCGAATGGAGACGGAGGCGTGCCACTTGGCGATGGTCCGACGCGGCCGAGCTATGATTACTCATCCAAAGTGCCAAATGTGGAAGGAGGAGGAGGAGGAGGACAAGGGGTACCTTTTACTAGTGAGAATGATTTCCAAGCAATTAGTGGCAGTTGTAGCTCCATATGGTTATCTAAAAATGCATGGCCACCTACTCTGTCCCTCATCATCTTCATCATGGTCGTATATTTTTCGACTCCTTAAGAATATATACACGATACTGGATAATATATTATCGTTCTATTCTGTCTTATTAGATTTCTGAGAGGTCCAAACATCGAATTTCATAATATTGAATTTGTAGGGGTGGATTTTTTTCGAAATTTAAATAGGGCCTGTATGGGTGGGATCCATATATAATATGGTTAATCTATATTATTTCAAAATAATAATGACAAAGTGTTGTAGTGTTGCTTAATATGTAGTTGCTCTGAATATATGTTGTTGTGAAGCTATGAGTGTCTTTTTATTGTGGAAATTAAAAACATGTATGTTGTTTTCGTATTTCAAATCTTCTAGACTGTTGTATAAAATTGAATAGTGGAGATATCTGTTAAAGGTGTATTATCTTGTCCCATATCAGTACCGTAAAGAGAAGTGAATCAATATATGAGTTCTAAATACCACCCCACTCATTGTCAATTGGTTTTGAGATGAGAGTCCAAACTACTTATATACTTTGACATGGTATCAGAGCGTTCTGGGCCACTTGAGCGTTGATTCATGGTCTATTCTGTTCTTGTCCTGATCCAAGTTCATTGGGCAAAAAGTTTAAAGACCCATTTCGACTTGAGAGGGGGTGTTAAGGTGTATAATTTGTCCCACACTCAGTATCTAAGTATCAAATGTCACCTCACTTATTGCCAATTGGTTTTGAGATGAGAGTCCAAATTACTTTTATATTTTGACAATATCTGTTCAAGTTGGATTGAAATGTCTAATGAATATTGATTAGCGCGATATTGCCAAATGAAAGACACAAGTATATATTTAACATTCCTGGAGAAGAAAATAGGCTGTCATTTCAGCATTACACTTTCTCTATACAGTCTCTATCGACATTACCCTTTAAACCATTACAATTTTGTCACTATTAGATGTATTTGCTTCTACAGTTGTAGGCAATTTGCTCATCTTCAGCTCTTCTCTGTCTTCAGCTCATATCTTACCTAGTTGTCATGGATTATGTCATGCATTTTCGCTAAGTAAAATTAACAATTCAAGTAATGATATACACGTCACATGCAAAAATTAACCTTATGTTCCTGGATAAATAATCAATTATTGCAAAGTTGATTCCACTCCCAGCCATGAATGAAATAAATTATACAATACTAACTAGTGCAAAACTGAGGAGGTGAAGGCATCAAAGTGGCCGTAACGAGCCTACATGCCTTCGAAATCATCAATGAATCTACACCTTTGGAAAAGAAACTAAAAAGATGTTGGCTTCAAGTTGTTTCCTTCTTCAAGAATCTTTTTTCATGCAGAAGCAGAAAAGATTGCCTCCAGTTTCTAAAGGGTTTCCAATTTAGAGATTACACATGTCAGGGAAGAACTCTCGTTAGGATTTGTGAAAACTAGCCAGATAACATGGTCCTATTATGCACATAGTTTTGGGCGTAGTATATTGGTTATGAGAAGAAAAGAAGTTGGCCTTGAAGAAGTATACAAAAAAGGTTATTGATGAAAGGCAGTGACGGACCTAGCCATCAAACTCTGCATGGGCTAATTTGAATGGTTGATCATTGACTATATATGAGGCAAAACTTAAAGGTGTATTAATTAAATTAAAAAAAATAAAAAGTTAGTAGTAATGTTTAAAAATCACTAAATGATACATAAGAAGGGTGTTGAAGATTTAAGAACATAAATAGTAAAAAAATGAGGTGTGTTGTTCTTTGGGAAAAATAGTAATAGCAGAAGTCTACAATAATTTAAAAAAGGTCACCTATATTGACATTATATTGAGAATTTACAATGTCGCAAAAAGAATTTAGTTAAGAGCGTGGGTTGTGGGTTGGATTTTCGCAGCTAATCTGGACTGCAGAGAAGCCCATATTGGGAAAACAATCGAATATAGCATTAAAAACGAAGTTGTTTGACTTTAGGCCTCTAGAAAAGAAATAGATTTCAGTCCAAAATTATTTTCTTCTCCGTTAATTGCACTTTTTCCTGTACTCCGCAGGGGCGGCACTTCAATGGCAAAACCATCACGTCTGAGACCGGACATCCTACAATGTGGTTCTCCAGTCCGCCGCAGGATCGACGGACCCTGCGAGCCCTATGGTAGGTCCGTCCCTGATGACAGGGGATTTAAAGAAATTTTAAAAGAAACAGTGCATTTATACTAGTGCAATTCCAAATTTTAGCGACTTTTTTCTTTCGATTGGCGTGCTTGATGTTCAAAGGGTTTTCGATAGTTTTCTCAAGAGATATATTGATGACCATAATGTGCAATCCAGGGATAAATGTTGCAAAATATGGATCCAGCTCCATCAGCTGCAAAAGGTTCGACATCAGCATAAGACCAGGAAAATTAATTTACGTCCAGCTACATGCATGGAATAGGAGCCGGCAGCATCAACTAACAACCTTTTGCTTCTGGAATCATTTACATGTGATCATGACTTATCTAAACAACTCTTCTAATAAACCAACGCATGAAAGATATAGGGAGCAATGCAGATCAGCATCCGTGTGATTTAGATTAGATGGTCAAGATTAATGTACATGATTAGCTTATAACTATAATTAGATCCATTTTTGTTAGTTATGTGTCTAAATGTTAGTTAGAAAGGTGATTGTGCAGGTTGTATACTTAGGTTGGTAGGATTCACTTCTGTGATGTGATGAATACGAAAAACATTCTCTGGAAGCTTCATTCATTTTTTTCCTTTCCCAAGCAAACATAAACCCTTACCTTTCTATTAAACCCTTACTTTTCTACTTCTATTTCGATTCCTTTACTGATTAGATTGATGTTTCCACTTTATACATTGTTTCATGTAGGGGTGTGTACCGGCCGGTTTGGCAGGTTTAAAGCTTCAAACCAAAAACCAAACCGAGAGTTCCGGTTTAACTAATGCACAAACCGAGCTGGCTGAGTAAAACATCAGGGCCGAATTGCCTGGACCGCAGACGACCGATTGGTCCGGCCGGTTTGACAGTTTTGGCCTCATTATAAGGCCCATAATTTTTGAATAGTCCAAACCCACTATTTTTGAAAATAATGAGCTATCAAGCCCAAGTTTGAGTAAATGAAACCCAGTCCATGACCAAATTTGATTAAATTTGGGACGAAAGGGAGGTAGGGGGTTTCGAAACCATGACTTTCCCCTTAGAATCACGCACACAGATACCACCAAGCCGGCTTGACCCATGTGACATTGAGATGGGCACAAATTTATTTAACATATATTGAAGAATTAAAAGTAATAATATATATACAGTCCGCTCTGGCCGAAACAACCAGTTTCATTGATGGAACCGAGACCAGACGTTTTCGATCCGGCTTGAAGTATTCCTTCCGGCTGGTAATTAAAAAAAATTCTCAAACCGGCCAAACTAGTCAAATTAATACGGTTCAGCCGGTTTAGTCAGTTTCGGCCAAACCATACACACCCCTAGTTTCATGAAGATTCTCTGTTGTATGATGGTTTTAGAGTAGGTCTAATCCTGCTCTAAATTACGTTGCATTAGTTTCTTGAATCTTTCTACAATTTTCTGCAAGATGCAGAGTGATCTTGAATTTATTTTCTTTTTTATAGCTCTTGATTTTTACGAACTTTTTTTTTATTTCTAGTTCAATCTTAAAAAAATTTTATTGTAATAGATGTTGAGTATTTGACAAGAAAAGATTGAGGATTTGATTAATATTTAATTTCAAGTTCATGGTTCTGAAAATCTTGGAACTCTTTTGGTTTCGGTTTTGCTGAATGACAAGAATTGTCTCATTTTGAAGTAAGAGATGCTGGCAGCACTTGAAGAAGCAAAGCTCAACGATGGATTTGTGATAGGGTCTTTGCCTAAACTGCCTGTGAATTTGCCAAAATTTGCCACGATTTGCTCGATGGAAGTAAACAAATAGCTTGGTTTGCACATGGATTAAGAGCTCAATATCAGCAGAACATGTGAATAATTTTGCCTTCATATATGATGCAAGAACTCTTTGGAACAATATAACAGAGTAGTATAGAACCACTAATCTACCTCAACTATTTGAAATAAAGCGTGATATAGCTTTGATAAGGCAAGGAGATTCAATTGTGGCATCTTATTATTAACGATTGAAATAATTGTGGGATCAGTATGCACAAATTGAGACCAATTCCAGTGGTTGATAATGAAATTGGAGAGTTGATGGTGAGCATGGAGGCAGAGGACAATTGGATAGAATTTCTCATGGGGTTGAATGAAGTATATAAATGAGAAATGAGCAACATACTGTTTGTGGATTCAATGGTACCAGTCAATCAGATTTACAATATGATTTTGACCCTTGAGAAACATAGGCAAGTGAGCACAAATATGACTTTGCCAATTGAAAGTACAGCTTTGGTTGCCAAGACAACTAACTGGAAGTAACTTGGAATGTCAATAGTACTATATAAGGGGAAAGCAACCTCGCTCAACAGTACTATATCAGAAAAGAGACAAGAGTAAGTTGTTTTGGCTTCATTGTAACAAGACAAGTCACATTAAAGAGGAATGCTTCAGGTTGGAATGTTTTCCAAAGTGGTAACATGAGTACAAAATGAAATTGCAACCACAGCAACCTGCCGATATAAATAACGTGAGCATGACAGCATTCTGAAGGGAAAGGCACCAACTGATCATGTTGGATCATCCTCAGTGAATTTTTCTCACTTAGATAGCTTTGCAGGTAGCTTTGTTGGAAATTGCAACTCATGTTGGTGATAGTTGGGGATACACCTCTTGGTTCCATAGCAGATAACAATGGTGATCTGCAACTGGTGATATCAAGTGCTGCGCAGAAGGAGCTTGACAGGATTTTGAAAGGAAAGGCACCAACCATGTTGGTTCATCCTTAGTGAATTTTCCTCACTTTGATAGTCTTGCAGGTAGTTCTTGTCTCACAAAACTAAGTTCTATTTCACATGATATAATAAGTCCTGGTTCTAATATCACTGATAGTAGTGCAACTAAGCATATGTATACTTACCTGAAGCTTCTATGTTATAAACATTCTGTTAATGGCTTTACACACGTTTGGTTACGTGATGGTTGTGTTTGCTCAGTTACTCATATTGGTGATGTATTTCTTGTAAAATTGTTACCCTTACTTCATGCTTACGCTTACCAAACTTCAAATATAAACTACTTGA